ATTTAAATCAGTGGATAAAATAAAGATGTCTTTAAACTTGGTGACATCTTCACTTTTTTTCTTTTTAGTATACATGCACACATGTGATTTAATGGAAAAAAAGCCCAGTATGACCCACTTAAGGCTGGTTTCTTTGTGTGTCTCACAGTTGACTGCCCATGTGCACTACTGTGGCTGAACCTGCAAAGGAAAGACTAACAGAGAAACTGGGTCTTGCGTATGATCAGGCTAGTATGCCATTTGTGAACCGAAATCCTAAGAAGAGGTACAAATACTGATATCACATGCACAGACCACTGATTCCTTTTCCTGTACTCAGCCTTTTCCATGCTTTAATCTTGTTCTTTTTAAAAATTGTTTTTTAAAAAAGCAAACGGAAAAAAGGGTAGAAATGATACAGAATTTCAAAAAATAACATTAAGAAAAAAATAATAAGAAATCATCACTAGTTGATATATTACATATGGCTATCTCAGAAGTAGTTATTCAAGTAACTTAATCTTGTTCTTTATCCCTAAGCTTCCCTTGGGCATCTAGATTTGAGAGTTATGTCTCCTCACACTTGGGTGACTCGTAAATAAATATTTTGTCTTTTTCAGTACTTGTAATTTTAGTGATTGATATATTGTGCAGCAGGCAAAGTGTGTCTGGTCCAGAAGCATCCTTTCTCCCTGAATTTTAGCTCCTTGCAGGTCCCGAGAGACTGTAGATGAGTCCGAGCACATTCTTCAGTCGCTCATCACAGAGAGTGTCCCCAGGCATTTTCCCATTGCTCAGCACTGCTGACTATCTGTGCATTATCTCAGCATTTATACTGTAGAAACAGTAGCTGATCTGGAAGACATCTTATCCTGCAAGTAACTTCTATAGAAATGACCAGACTTCTGTTTATCTTTCTCTGTAGTTTGGCTTCCATTGTGAGAACCTGCCTTTTAGAGATGCCTGCTACTTGATTTTTCAATGGAAGCTGTGGATTGGCATTTATGGGGGGAGTTCTGGTTTAAAAATTATTAAAAGATCTTTGTCAATGGAATTTCTCTTTTAACTTCCCAAAGAAAATGCTCTTCTAGTCTCTTTTCTGGTTTGGGGGACACCTAATATTTAACTGCTGGAAACACTACTCTGGTCTTGTTTGTACTTCATTGTAAGAGTCTCAAGATCTGATTCTAGCATAAATAACATAAGTGTATCGTTGAGTAGCTTGGTCTCAGTCCATTAATTTATAATCTCCAAATTAGGGTGACTTTTAGCTATGTGTCTGCGGTGAGGGAAAACAATTTTCTTATATAATTGCTCCTGGGCTTGATATTCTTAGGTTAGGAGAGAAATGGCTTGAAAATGGACGCTCAAAACTGCGTTTGGTAGAATTTAATTCAGAGTCATCAAAATAAACTGTTCCCAGAATTCCTGGGCACAGCTTTGGAGAGAGTTCCCATGGTTGTTCTATTCTTTTTGCAGTTTCCTCCTACACTGCCTGTGGGTTTTTTCCTTACTTTTCTAAAGTAATTTTGTTTTCCATTGAGTGCAGTTCAATTCTCTGGCAATGATGTATTTTATTTATTTAACTTATATATTAATAGAATTTCATAAACATGTTAATGGTAGAAATGATGGATTCAGTAAGGTATTCCCATACATTTCTACATCATGAATGGATCATTTCTGTGGACCCTTTTCCTACTCTCCTTTTCCTATTTCTAGCCCTGGTAATCAGTCTCCTATTTCCAGGAAGGTTATTTTTTGTTGTTGTTTCTATATATGTGAGGACATATGATCATAGCTGTCCTCTGTATGATTTAATATGATGTTCTCAAATTCTATCCATTTTTAAAGAAAGGCCTGAAGATTGTATTATATCATCATGATTTTGATATTTGTAGTGTGATAATGTTCTTGCTTATTAGTTTGTTGTTTGTGTCCAAGTTTTTGTTTTTTATCATCACCCGTGTGAAACACACAATAATCACATTCCCCTTGAGGAGCTGGTACATGGACATAACACATCTAAGTCTTTATTTATCCTTTCCCTTTCCTCTCCCTTCTCTCTCCTTCTCATTTAAGAAGATCTGTCTCCCTAATTCCTATCATCTGTGTTTTATTTTGCTCTTTGTTTATAGTTGTACTTCTGATATAGGAGAAACCATTAAATATTTGAGTTGTATCTCTTTTTCTGAATGAAGTTAGACTAGGTCTAACTGTTGAAAATAACTAACTCCAGTTAATAAAAATAAGTGTGTAACTGTGTTCTTTATGTAATGTAAAGCCTTATAGTTATATTACATTAGGTAACAAAGATAAAGCTAATGTGTTGTTTCTAAGTAAAGTGAAGTTCTGAAACATCAATTGCTTAATATACATTTGAAGATGCTTAGCTTCTTTAATTCTGTCAAAGGACAGTATACTTTTGGTTCTATTCATAAATGTATCTCATAAACTTTTGGTATATGGGTTAATGATTTAAGATTTATTTCTAGATCTTCTCTAAAATGTAAGGTGATTAAGAATTAAGTATTGTAATTAACATATGTAATTCTATATGCAAAAGTTCAAAATATAAGAGTTTAATGAAAGAATCTATGTAAAGGGAAATTTGTTTTAATGAAAGAAAAATAATTTTGTCTGAATTCAATGATTTTATAAACATTGGTTAAAAATATATTCAAGAATCAAGGCAGAAAGAAAGCTATAATGAACATATGCTTTTGGTGAGCAAAATTACTTTAAGTAAGTTCAGCAAGTTATAAGTTTATACAGGAATAATCCATTGAAAGACTTCTCGATGTAGTAACCAAAATCGTTAATATAACTGATATATGGTAAATACTCAAATATCAATCACATTTCTGTACACAAACAAAAAACTCACTGAGAGGGAAATGAGGTACCACACCCTTCACAATAGCATCCAAATAAATGAAATTCTTAGAAATCAATCTAACAAAGTAGCAAAATATCTATACAGTGAAAATTCCAGTACTCTGAAAAAAAGAAATTGAAGAGGATTTCAGAAAATGGAAAGACATTCCTTGTTCACAGATAAGAAGAACAAACATTGTGAAAATGGCCATTCTCCCAAAATTGTTGTACAGGTTTAATGCAATTCTAATCAAAATACTATTAGCATACCTTATAGATCTGGAGAAATCATTCCTAAAATTCATCTGGAACCAGAAGAGACCTAGAATAGCAAAGGCAATTCTGGGCAACAAAAGTAAGGTAAGAGTCATAACAATCCCTACTTTGAAATCATACTACAAAACTACTATGACAAAATCAGCATGATACTGGCATAAAAACAGACCTGAAGATCAATGGAATAGATTAGAAGATACAACCATAACTGCAAATGCACTCAGTCATCTTATCTTTGACACAGTGATCAAACACTGAAAGAAAGGCAGCCTCTTTAACAAGTTTTACTGGAAAAACTATCTTTTCATATGCTGAAAACTAAAAGTAGACCTATGCCTATCACCATGCAGTAAAATGTATCAAAAATCTTAATACTAAAACAGAAGCACTGACTCTCCTGGAAGACAAAGTAAGTAGAAATCTTGAAGACATGGGGGTAGGCAGAGATTTCATTAAGAAAAGTCAAACCACATGGGAAATACTTCCCAGAATCAACAACTGTACCACATCTTACTAAAAAAGTTTTTGCATTTCAAAAGAAATCTCCAATAGAGTGAAAAGAAAACCCATAAATTGGCAAAAAAAATCTTTGTCAACTGTCCCGCAAACAAAGGACTTCTATCTAGAACATATAAAGAATTAAAAATAATCAGGGCTTCAAAATTTAAAGACCCAATTCAAAAATGGGAATCTGAGATGAATAAACACTTCTCAGCTGAAGAAATGCAAATGGCAAATAAATATATCAAAGAATGTTCAGCATCATTGATCACTAGAGAAATGCAAATTAAAACAACATTAAGATTCTATCTTACTCCAGAATGAATGACCAGGATCAAAAAAATAACCAGTATCAAATGCTGGAGAGGCTGTGGGGAAAAAGGAATTCTTCTGCACTGCTGGTGGGAGTGTAGACTGCTGCAACTACCGTAAAATTCAATGTAGAGGTTCCTCAAAAAGCTTGGATTGGCGATTCCATTTGACCCAGCTGTTCCACTTCTGGGCATATTTGCAGAAGGGTTGTAAACATCATACCACAGTGATATATGTGCACCCATGTTTATAGTAGCACAGTTTGTAGTAACCAAATCTCGGAAACAACTTAGACGCCAATCAATTGAGATATGTATGAAAAAGATGTAATATTTTTATACAATCGAATACTACTCAGCTATAAATAAAGATCACATTGAGGCTTTTATGGATAAATGGATAATTGGATGAGACTTGAGAGACCATACTCATAAGTGAAATAAATAAAATCATGGGCAAGTACTGTATTGTTTCCCTGGTGTAAGACATGGAAAGAGTAAATAAGATCTAAAGACTTCATTAATATTGTAAAAGGGTTAGAAACTGCTCAAAGGGAAAAAATTACTCAGTGGAAAGGAGAAAAGAAGGAAGAGAAAAGGAAATAATGTAAATTTGTCTATATACATGAGATAGCAAAGATGGTTGTACTACTAATTATATTCTTGGAACAAAACAGTTAATGTTCATAGGATTAGATCATTTTTGCATGTCTCTGCCTGGTAATCTGAGTAACTCTTTTGAAGATAACTGTGCAAAATAACCTTTGTTAAGTTCTACTACCTTGTTTTGGAAGCCTATATTGTTATTGTTTTGGGTTTTTTGTTATTGTTGTTCATTTGTTTCTTTTGTTTATTGTTTTTCTTGTGTTTTGTTTTTCCCTCTTTAAAATAAAAAAAAAGGAAAGGATAAATTACTGAGGGAAGAGAAGAGTAAGAAGATGAGGGGGAAGTTGTTAGATTCTGCCTTCCCTAGTGTTACCTGTCTTACCCTCTGTAAGGAGTCCTCTGTGTTCCAAGACCGTCAGGTTTGTTTTCTTGTGTTGCCTTTTCTCCTAGGTTACCACTGTGAGCCCTACAACAACCCTGCAGACTTCATTCTAGATGTGTTAAGTGGAAACTCCGCTATTGTAGTAAACCAAGAGGGAGAAAGCTCTGAAGGTATGTGAATTTTTTGGGTTCACAGGGGTGTTGCCTAGCTGGCTTATCTAAAATTCATTAATGTAGTGACTCATTACCACATGATTTTATAAATTTCTGTTAATGCATTGTTCTGATACCAGTCATCAGATAGCATTGTTGTCTATGAGTGGTGTAGGTATTTTGATTTAATTGGTAAATGAGCATTTATATAACATTGCCAATTGTAAGGGGAGTTTCCATTTAAAAACAAAAATGTTCATTTTGTGTGTGTGTGTGTGTGTGTGTGTGTGTGTGTGTGTGTGGTACCGGGGATCAAACTCATGACCTCACACTTGCCAGGCAGGCTGTTATGCCTCTGAGCTAAATCCCAGCCCCATTCATTGTTTATAGTATTTTTAAAATAAGACATTTGGGATTTTTTATATTTGCACATAGTAGAAAGTATGGACTGAAGTTTTATAATAAGAATTATAAATTTGTATGGTAACAAGTCTGTTTTAAGAATTGACATTCAAATTGTTAGAAAAAAGATCAGTGATTATTGCATACTCATAAGATTATGTAGTAGCCAGGTCAGATAGCTGTCTTTTTCTCATGTGTAATGACAGAGCTAGTGATTTCTTTTTGTACACAAGTTTTCACATTAAGATGTTATCCAATAAAAAGTCAGAGAAAACTGTTAAATCAGTTATTTTATTCCTGTCTTTAATGTTTCTTGTATTCATCTATTTTTATTCCAAAGCCAGAGAGACTGAAGTGTTTTATAAGAGAAACAAACCAGCTGTAGAAAACTTAGTCAACCTTTATGCCAACTCATCCTTCTACAAAGAAATAAAGGATGAATTAGATAATTCCAACTTCCCAAGAGGTCAGAAGAAGAGGATTTCAGCTTTCAAGATCACTTCTACTACCTCCTTCTGGCATCAGCTCAGATGTATTATGAAACGTTCATTCAGAAACTTGCAAGGTTTTCCTCAAGTCACTATAATTCAGGTAATTCAGCATATTTTTTCAATGTGATGTGAAATATTCATGTTGAACCAACTTGTGTGTGTGTGTGTGTGTGTGTGTGTGCTGAGACAGGATCCCAAAATGTAATTAAGTCTGGCCTTCAACTCACTGTGTAGCGCAAGCTGGCCTTGAATGATCCTCCTGTGTCAGCCTCTGAAGCGCTGGGATTACAGATGTGCTTCACCATACCCTGCTCAGCAGTTTGGTTCTGATGTGGTCTATTTAAGGATTATGTTTATCTCCTATGCACCTTACCATTTATTTGTCATCCCTATTCCATTTGGGACCTAGAAACAATCAGTAGGATGAAAAAGCACAATTAAGTTTCTATATAGAGAAAGCTTTTGTTAGTTGCTTCTTGCACTATCTAACTCATAATTTTTGTTGATTCAGATGAACTGTAATGGATTATCAGAGCAAAAAAAATCCCCCCAAAATGTAAAGCACCATCAGTCATGTTTGGGATATTCTAGAAACTGCAATTATATTCAGGAATTCCTTCCACAACTTTAACATAATATCTTATGTTGCCTTTTGAGATTTTAATACAATAGTGAACAAAATGAGTAAAGATAAAATCTCTGGTCTCACAGAAATTATTTTCTTATGAGGGCAGAGAGATGGTAGCTGAATGAAAAATAAAGTATATTGCATGTCAGATGGCAAACAGGACTGCAGAATGTTTGATCAGAGATGAGGGGCAGGGGCTAGAGGGAGAGAGTGACATCAGGATAAGGCTTGCTTGCAATTGAAGCCAGGAGACGAGGGAACCCATGGCAGCAAGTGGTCTTGAAGGTAGCTTAGGCTGTTTACTGTCTGAGAAAAGAGATTTCATGCCAAAGGATGTGTGCTCCATAATTGATTTCCTTATTCTGAGGGTTTCATATTTTGAAATTCTTAGATACCCAAATGAGTGTGTAGTTTGTACATAGGTAGTAACCAGATGTAATAAGGCTATTTACGGGCAGATTAAGTCACTTAACTACAATGAGATCATGTCCTTGCCTGATTTTGGATGACTCTGTGGAAGTTGTTTATTAGTCCTTTTTTTGGGGGGGGGGATTTTACTTTTTTTTTTTTTGTTGTTGTTGTTATCTTCTTCTTCTTATTGTTGTTGTTTTTTTTTTTTTTTTCTAATATTGGTCTGCTTTTTGTCTCTGTGACCAAGCACCACACATAAACAGCTTATAGAAGGAAAAATGTGTGGCTAAGATTTGCAGGGGTTTCAGTCCATGATTGTATAGTACTGTTGCTCTGGGTCTGAAGTGAGGCAGAAGTCACAGCAGAAGGGTTTGATGACAGCCTGATAGCAGCCTTGAAATAAAGAGAAAAGGAAAGAACGGTGAAGAAGGAGCCAGGAACCATGCATAGCAGTCAGGATCAAGCCTTGGAACCAGGCCCAGTCTCTTGTTTCTATTACCTTCCAGTAGTGCCATGAAATCACAATCTCATGAATGAGTTAGTCCACTGATGAATTTAGTGCCCTCATGATCTAATTGTGTCTGGAAACACCCACAGACTTACCTAGCAGTATGCTTAACTAATGTCTTTGGCAGTCCTGCATCTATCAGTTTGACTATCATGAGTAACCGCAAACCTTTGTCACAGATCACTGGTTCTTCCAGCTCATTTCTTTATCATCTATAAAGAAATTATTTTAGGTTGTTTTGGGGTTGTTATTTTTAGTATATGTCATTGAGTTGCTATTGAGTTCTAATAGCATGTTAGTCTAATGAAATTCTATGGACACATGCACCATAATTTTCTTATTGAAGTTTGTCACTTTCCAAGTGTATCTGAGAGCCTTCACTCCTGTGTGAGTCATAGTGTCAGACACTGCAGTGTTGGTGGTTATTTGATTAGGCACTTCTGTGAGAACGTGAACACTTTTGTGTCCTGTCAACCCAGGACAAAATTTCATTCTTTGCAGGAGATTTGATGCCATTTGGAAAAACGTTTTAAGAATTAAATCCATCAACTGGGGTTACCCCATTGTTGAACACTGACATGATGTAATGAGCTGATTTTTCCTGTAATTTATGTATTAGGTTGCTCTTATTTGCCTGTAGAAGTGGTTTATAAGTGTCTTGTCCAAGACACATATGTGGTAGTTCTAAGCAGTGTCTTATTAAAATCCATCTACTTCAGTCCCCCTGGATTGTGAGTGGTTTGCCCCGAGGCTTCCTCATGATGCAACCACCAGGCCCATTGCCTCCAGGATTCAAGTTCAGCAACCTTGCTTCATCAGTGTGCTCAGTTCCACAAAGGGAACACAGCAAAGCTCAGAGAAGCAGATGTCTGTAACATAAGGTTGAGACCTTGATTCTCCCTGAGCTTAGTGGGACAACTCTTACTTTGTAAATATTGGATGATTACCTTACTAGTGGACAATCCCATTTTGAGAATAGACTAGATAGCAAATATTTTAGACTTCACAGGCCATACATGGGATTTGTCTCAGGTAGTCTACCCGGCTATTTTAGTGTGAAAGCAGCCATAGCTAATATATAAACAAATGAATATGTCTTTCTCTCTTTCTTTCTTTCTTTCTTTTTTTCTTTGATACTGTGCTTGCCAAGCAGGTGCTTACTCCACTGAGCCAAATCCCTGGTTATTCTTTATTTGAAAAAAAAGTTATGATGTTATGCTAGACGGTGACATTTGAGTTTCAAATAAATTTGATATTGTAAGGATATTACTCTGTACATTTCTAAGTCTGAAATAATAATTATTCTCTATGTTGTTAGGTATGAAAGCCATTTTAACTTTCAGACAGAACAAAAATATTTGGCTGTCGCTTAGTGGCCTATGGGTAGCATTTTACTGACTTGCAAATACACTAGGACTTTTATTTATATTTTAATAGAAGTATGCTGTATATATTTTTAAATCTGTTTTTAATGTAGAATTACGAAAAATTTTATGATTTCGTGCCAAAAAATACTGTATCTGTTGTCTTATGGCTTGAAGTAGTCATTTACATGGCTCAAGTTGTATTAGAAGGTTCTTGGAATGAATAGATTTTCTGAATAGGAAGATTTAGCATTTGTTTAATGGGTGAGGGGCTTTCTAATCAAATTAATTTGTTAAAATTTAGCATTAATTTCTCAGTGTTGTCATTTCTACCAGCATATTACAAACCTACAATGGGTTCTCCTTTTTTCTGGAGACAGTGTCTCCCTATGTTATCCGGGTGACTTCAGTTTCGTCTCAATTAAGGTTGAGACAAACCCAAGTTGGTCTCAAAATTATTTCTCCTGTGTCTTCAGCTTCCAAGTGCTGAGATTATAATGAGCCACTACATTCATATTTTTAATAAAAGCTAGAAAAATCACTCAACATATTTTAGAGTGATCCATGTGTTGAAAATATGCTGGAGACCAAATTCCCAAATCTCCTAGATGGTGTCATTTACGCTGTTGTTTAATGTTTATTGTACATAATAGTTTTCCTATTACTTATGCAAAAAAAAGTGTAATTCTGATGCACTTTGTAAAAGCAGGATGTCGTTATGGGATTCATCATTTTTCAATGTTGCTAAACAGCTAAAATTTGTTGTAGAACTTTGAAACCAATAGTGAGCATCACAGTAGAAACACTGATTTTGTTAGTATAAATTGTCAAGTTTGGATGTAAAAAAAGTACAACAAAGAATATGGAATGCCTAGTTTAAAAGACCGATTCTTAAAATTTAGGCTCTGTGAAACTATAGACCCTTGTATACATTGGTATGCTACTGTTGATAGTCATTGGTATTTACTTTAGATCTGCTGAAGTCAGGTGTATTTTGAGAGTAGTAAAAATATGCCATGGCAAAGGAGTTCTTTTCTCTAAATGTCCCTCTTGTTGCCAAAGGAATTTAAGGATATCTTACAAGTGAAACATTTTATAAATGTCCTTTGCAGGTTAAGATTTTCACAAACTAGTTTTTACAGATCTTCATTCTGTTTCTACTTTGGCTTGGATTTCCTCAAATGTACCCTTCACAAATTACTTCATGTCTTTATATTATTGTAGTATTGAGACTTTATTTTTTAACTTTGAAGTTTCCAAAATATATATTAGAATATTTTGTTTTCTTTAGGTTACTATGTTCTATACCTCTGTATTCAGTCCATCAATAATTTTAGATTTCCTCAAAAAGTATGTCATAATGTAACCCTTGCTAATTGAAGAATCCTTAAGACAATGTTCATCTTAAAATTAAAAGTGATGTTTGTTCAGTCTCCTTGGGAGCCCTCCACACCTATTGGGGAGGTGAAGAGAGGTGAGGATAGCAAATATCCACAGCTTCCCTGGCTGTGAGGACTGCAAGCCTTCCTGATGCAGGGACAGAGGAACGAGTAATGGAAGCATTGGGTGCCCCCAAGAAAGCTGGCTGGGTGCTTTGGGGGCACTTTCTCACATAGGCAGGGACTCCTCATAAGTTGGCTAGATGGGGCCACCTCACTCCTACTTCTTATGCAAAATTTCCTTCTTAGAAATGTTGTGTGCTTTAAAAATTCTATTTTTGATTCATTTTTCAGTGCAGGGCATTCATCCCAGGGTCTTGCACATGACAAGCAAGTATTCTGCCTGTGAGCTACATTCTCAGCCCTAAAATGGTACTTATTTCTAATGATAAACATAAAGATAACTTTTTTGTGAACTTTTTGAACTATAAACTACATGTTCACTGTCATAAAAGTTATGAATTTACTTCAAATAAAAACTGTTGGCCACGTGGACTTTATTCTTAAAATGACTTCTCCAGGGAAGTGTAATGCTTGTGGGTCCAGTGGCTTAACTGGGCCCTGAGCCAGCAATATCTGGTGGGATAGTAGGAAGAACCTTGGATTTGTCAGTCATCTGTACTGTGTTCATTCAGAGCCTCAAACAACAGATAACTTAATTTTCAGCTTAATTTATAAAGCAGTCATATAATGCTCAGTGTTTTATATTCTCCCAGGGACTCTGGAAAAGTCATTGGAAGTGCTTATTTCAATGGAGATATTTGACAGGTGGCCAGATTTATTATAAATACTGTGTAAACATTTTTACCTTTGATTAAAACTCTGCTTTTTCATTTGAAAAGCTATTGATAATATTGGCGATAGCAGTGATTACAAGCTGTGTTTTTCTTGGACGACATGATAATTGTACTGCACTCCAGAATCGGTAAGTAAATTTTTATCTTCATTTGGGAAAAATTTTGATACTTTGTTCAAGATTGTAAATATCCATTGGGAACTTGAATTTTGGGTAGATGTCATTATTTTATTGAGGGGTTAGGATAAGTCAGTGCATTGAAAACTGAGTGGGAAAGTTAACTTTCTCTTTCCCATGTGTATTAATTATGTAGTGGTAAGATAAATGCAACATAAATTCTGCGCCATTTTTAAGTGTAGTTCTTAGTGACATGAAGTATATTCATATGATGCGGCCACCATGCAACTCTTAAGACTTTACTTCAGCTTCCCAAATAGATGCTTCATATACATTCAACACCCCATATCTACCTCTCTCCATACCTGGGTAATGCCATTCTCTGTCTCTGAATTTGACTGCTCTAGGAACATCATAAATTATCAATCATACAGTACAGTATTTGTGAGGGTTTTTTGGTGACTGGCTTAATTCCCTTAGCATAATGTTCTCAAAAGTCTTGCAAATTGTAGCATGTGTTAGAATATCTTGGTTTTTTAAGGCTGAATAAGCACTCAATTATATGTATGTACTATATTTTGTTTATCTGTTTATCTGATGATGAAAATTTGTGTTGCTTCTACCTTTTGGCTACTTTGAACAACAGTGCTATAAGCATACAAATGTTTGGTGAACTCCTGCTTTCAGTTTTTTGGGACACATGTGCAGGGGCAGAATTGTTTGACCGCATGGCAGTCAGGTTAATTTTGGGAGGAGCTGCTGCCCTGTCCTTCACAGCAGCTGCACGATTTTGCATTCTTAACAGCAGGGGATAAGAATCTCCATTTTTCTGCATCCTCACCTAGTATAGTTTTTGTTTTAATAATAGAGATTCATTAGATCTCTAAAATGTGGATTGAAATGTGGATTGTTGTTATTTTTGTTACTGAATTGGAATTCTTTATACTTCTGCATATTAATACCTTGGCCAATACAAGATTTGCAAATATTTTTCCCATTTTATGGACTTTTTATCACTTTGTTGATAGAGCCTTAGGTGAATAAGTATTTTTAAATTTGATGTCGTCAAGTTCATCTATGTTTTTGTTTTGCTGTGTGTGAGAAAGTTTCCCTGGAGTTTTTTTATTTGTTAGATGTAGGGTTAGCTCGAGTGGGTATTTTGTTATTCTTAACTCATTTCAGTTTAATGTGCTCTTATAAACCTTGTTTCTGAAGAGACTTTTAGACAACTGCACTGTGCTCTAAATGCAGATGTGCTCACACCTTCCAGTCCTTTAATTCATGTACAGAGAACTGCTCTTTGCCAGGCTCTGATCTGTGATTGACATCCCAGCAGTCAAAGGGGTAGTCGTATTTTTATGACTAAGGAAAGTTGTAGATCATGGTGATCTACTTTAATTTCTGCAAAAGACTGATTATTTTTGAAAGAAAATAAACATAAAAGCCAATTCTTCACTCACTTCAAACTAAGTACTGAAGCATGACAGTACTATAATATATTGAGATGGTTATTGCAGTGATTTTCCAGAATTTGTCATCTTTTTACCTTTCTCTGAAAGTTGAGTCCTCTGGACTGTTTCCAAACATGCCGGGACTTGTTTTGTGCCCTCTATTGAATCCCTTTTCTCACCAATGCAGCCTTCACCACAGGCTCTATAGGATGTGTCTCGTGGTAGAAGTGAGAATTCAAAAAATATTGAGCCAACTGTCATCAACTGGAATTTTAAAGACCATGTGGAAATCAAGACATGTAAGGTCTTACCAGAAAAACTCAGGGGAAAAAAAAAGAAGTGCTTTAGGTTCTTCTTCAAATGTTTTGTGGAGAAATTGGACATTTTTTTATTAGATGAAAAAATAAAACAATTTCATAACAAAATAATAAGAAAATGACAATAGTTAATACTCTGTGTATCATTATCTTTGAAGTAGTTACTTAATGGTATAAGATAGAAACCAAAAAGGTTCTTAGAAAAAACAAACAGTAACAGAAAATTTTTCAGTGATCTAAGATATACTAGTAGTATAAATGGAACAAATTAGCATATATATTAAAATATTTTTTAAAAAATGAAATAAGCAATTTGAGGAGGCATTTGAACTTACTTCCTATTTATTATCTCTTCTAGTTTGCTTTTTATGTGTACATTTATATGTATATGTTTTTTATTTCTTATATAAGACAAACCGTCTAATATTTGAGTTTGTGTCTAACTTCACTTAACATTATATCCTCAGGTTGCATCCACTTACCCACAAATGCCTCAAGTTTATACTTCTTTGCAACAGTGTAATATTCCACTGTGTATGCATACTACATTTTCCTTATCCATTTATGTGTTAGTGAAAAATATGTGTTTCAAAAATCTAGCTGTTACGAACTGTGCTGGTATATATATGGGTATGTATCCCTGTAATAGGATGATTTTTTTTTAGTCTCTTGAGAAGAGGAACATGTAAAAGAGGGATAGCTAGGTCAAATGGAATTTCTATTTTTAGTATTTTGAGGAATATCTACATGATTGCCATAGTGGTTGATGTAGTTTAAATTCTCATGGGAAACATGGAACAATTCTTTATCCAATATGTCCTTTCTTGCTTTTGTAATTATTAGACTTTTTGATGATAACCATTCTTTCTGGAATAAGGTGTCTGGTTTTAAATTTGCATTTTTTTCTTTTTATTTTAAAAACAAAAAATAAAGACGATGATATAGAATTCAAACCAATAGGAGATTAACACTGGGGTTAATATATTACATGTTGTTATCTCTTCAACTAGTAGTTATTCAGATTACAAGACATAGGTATGAAAAAAATGATCCAACAATCAAACAATGAAAACAGAACTGTTCTTTCTGATGAACTAACAGTTTAGTAGTATAATTATTTATCATATACATATATATATGTATATATTTATGCATACACATATACGTATAATCTTTTCCCTTTTTGCTTTTCTTTAATGGTCAGTGATGGTGAATATTTTTCATGTGTCTTTTGGCCATTTGTACTTCCTTTGAAATGCCTAATCATTTTGGTTAATCATTTTTTGATGGGGTCTTTTATTTTGAGGAGTCTAAATATTTTAGTTCTTTACATATTCCTGATGTTAGTTCTGATGTCCATGGAAGAGCTAGAAAATTTTTTCCCATTCTGTAGATTGTCTCTTTACTGTTGGTTGTTTCCTTCACTGAGCAGATTTTTAGGTTGATGCGACCTCCATTTGTTGATTATTGGGGTTATTTTTAATGCCAGTGTAATGCTGTCCAGAAAGTTCTTGCCTGTGCCTTATGTCTTCAAGAGTTATATCCATTTTATCTTCCAGGAGATTGTCAATATTAAAACAATATTGATATACTTGATCCATTTTGATATTAGTTTAGCACATGGTGAGATGTGTAGGTCTAGACTCAGTCTTCTGCATCTGGATACTCAAGTTTCTCAGCCCCATTTATTAAAGAGGCTATATTTCCACTAATGTTTGTATGTATTTATTTACTTACTTGTTTTTATGAGTACATGTTTGCCATATATAATGATCACATTTATCATAGAAAATTTGTACCTGTACATAATATTTCTTAAGTACTTGTTCATAGTATTTAATTCCATTTTCCTCATTTCCCTCTCTTCCTTTTTACAAAGCTTTGTTTCAGTTTTCCCTTCTATTCTCTTTTTAAAAAATCCCTTTTCATTTCCTTCTTTCCCCTCCATCCTCTCTTGTTCCTTTCTTGTTTGAACAAGTTCCTATTTTCCAATACTGCATAGTTTTTATTTCAGTGTGTGTTTCAGACTCTTGTCAAAGTTCAAATACCTAAATGTACCTGGGGTTTTTCTGCTTCTATTTTTCTGTTTCACTGATCTATGTGCCTGTTTTTCTTCCAGTATCACACTATTTTAATCACTATAGCTTGCAGTGTATTTCAAGTCTGAGATTGTGATTCCATTGGCTTTGTTACCCAGGATTGCTTTTACTATTTTGGGTCTTTCTAGATTTGATATGCATTTTATCATTACTTTCTCTAACTCTGTGAGAAATGACATTGATGGTTTGATTGGGATTTCATTAAATCTGTATATCAGTTTTGGAAATATGGTCATTTTGATTATGTTGATTCTCCCTATCCAGGAACAGGAGATAGCTTTCCATTTTATGGTATCTTCCTTGATTTTCTTTTTCAGAGTAATGTAATTTTTATTGTAGAAATCTTTTGCTTCCTTACTTATGTTAATCCCCAAGTATTTACTTTTTTGGATGCCATCATGAATGGTATTGTTTTCCTAATTCCTTTTTCAATTTATTCATTTCAGTTTGTTGCATGTCAAAGGAAATCTCCCATAGAGTGAAAAGAAAATCCATAAATTGTGAAAAGAAAATCCATAAATCCATAAAATCTTAGCCAACTGTCCCTCAGACAAAGGACTTCTATCTAGAGGCCCCCAGAATTCAAGGACCCAATCTAGTACCATGCACAATTACTGAATATAGGTATAAAATAAATGTAGGAGTCTTTGGGGACTTGGAAGTAAAGGATCATGTCATTTGCAAATGATGACATTTTGACTGTCTTTTTTTTTCCATTTGAAAAAGCTTTATTTTTTAAGGGAAAAGTGACACAGAAAAGAAAATCAAAAAGCAAAAGAGACAAACAATAACAAACCCAATACAATAATAGTATAGTTTTACAAAACAAGATGATAGGAATTTTACAATGGTTGTAATATTGCATATTGTTACCTTCAAAAGGCATGCTTAGATTAACTGATGTAGACATGTAATATTGATTTAATTATATGAATATTAACTGTTCTTTTCCAATAACTAAAACATTTAGTAGTATAGTCATTTTACCTATCACACACACACACATGTGTACACACACACACACGCGTATACACACACACACACACACACACATATATGTACAAATTTATGTCGTTTTCCTTTTCCCTTATTTCTTTCTTCCTTTCCCTGATCCCAATAACTTTTCCTCTATGAGAACTTTCGTA